TTCAGAGGTTAAGCCCTGATACCATTCTCTTCTTTGAATTTGGATTTGATTATTTACAGTCCTTGGATCTTGCAGGCTGGTATGCTTCTTCCCTGTGGACTTAGTTGAAGCGTCACTTAGATGGCTGTTTGTTGTAAGACAACCTTTAAGACCCCAGACATTATTCCTTCTGATAGCTGGGAACCATCTACTTTCTTTACCACACTTTGCTATAGCACCCATATCTTCAGTGATCTCCTTGTGAGGGTGAACAGGGCCATATCATAAGAACTGATTGTTCTTAGATTGGGGTAGAATTAAGAAAGACTATATTATGCACAGAGTTTTTGTTAAAGATGATAATTTTGAGAAATGGAATATGGTTAGTATTGTATAAGATGGTAAACATAATTAATATATATTATTACTTCTGAATACCAGCATAATTTTTTAAACTAATCTATTTTTATTCATTCTGTTTAGTAATCACAGACAAAACTAATGACAATTATGGGATTTATTAAGGACATTAATAGGTTCCAAATGCTCAGAACACAGTTAATTAGTCAGGACAGCCTTTTCTTAGCCACACCTGTTGAACATAGGAAGCAAGTAAATCTGAGATCTTTCAGGCAAGAAGCTGGCTCGCGGAGTCGGGGAGGAACTTAATTAGGGGAGCTCGATTTGCTGACCCGTGGACTAGAGCTGAGTGCTTTCAGGCTGAGGTCTATGGCGGAATAGCAGCGTGCCCTTTGGGAATTTCCTGGTAGTCCTAACGAGCTTTGACTAGCTTTGTCCTGTCGCATGAGCAGCACAGAGGCCAGTGAGCTGTGTGGCTCCGAGACCAAAGAACAGGCCCTGCAGATAGCAGCCCAATGCTACGAACCCCCCCAGGGCTGGTTACAATAAATGAGGGTGCAAACAAGAAACTTGATCATCAAAAAAATAAATAAATCCTATCAGTAGGCCTAGAAAACGATCTATCCAAAGGATCACAGGAAGTCAGTGACACTCAGGACAAAAAGACTTTCAGAAGAATGAGCATCTGCAAAGCAAGAATGAGCAGGCAAGGAGACAGTTTGTAGTTGTTGTTTATTTCTAAATTATGGGGACACATGCATATGTCATTTCTTTTAAGTAAAGAGGAAGACAGTTAAAAGCACCAAAAACAGTCATGGACCAAGCAAGAAAAAGTAAATGTGATATTGATCACATTTGTCATCGCCTCAACTCTGATTCATAGCAGCCTTCTAAGGGGCCGAGACTGTAAATCTGTATGGGAGCAGACAGCTTTATCTTGCTCCCTGAGAAGGGCTGGTGAGTTTGAACCACCCACCCTGTGCTTGGCAGTTCAGTGCTTCACCCACACACAGTATCAGCAGTACTTCTCCACCGTACAAGGGGATTTCCAAAAGTTATTGGAAAACTGAGACTGAACAATTATGAAGTTTTCCCACAACCTTTTAGAAGCCCGCTCGTGTGCTTCATGGAAATATCCGCAATCATAATGATGTGAACCCTTCATTGATCTTCAGCTCTTAAAATCAGGGAACGCAATGACAGAAGAGAACGTAGCTATTGTCAAGCACGACAACATAACATTAAAAACCATTTGAGAGAGAGCAGGGCAAGGACGGGCAAAGGAAACGTAGTGGGAAGGATAGGGGTACTTATATATTAACCTTACAGAAAACCGGGTACGGGACCAAAGATCATCAAATGTTGATGCATTCATAACAGCCAGAAGGTGAAACACCTGCAAAGTGCCTCACGTGATGAATGAGTAAACCAAAATGCCAGCTACCTACATAATGGAACAGTTTTTAATAATGAAAATGAAAGAAGCATGTAACATGCTGCAACATGGCTGAACCTTGAAAATACTATCCTAAATTAGCTCTATAGAAATGACCACATATTTTATTAATCCATTGATGTTAAATGTCCAGAATAGGCAAATCTATAGAGGTAGACAGCAGATTAATTACTGCCTAGGGCTGGGATGAGGTCAATGGAAGTGACTACTAATGAATAAAGGTTTTTCTTTTGGAGTGATGAAAATTGGTAAAATTAGATAGTGGTGATGGTTGCACAATCTGTAAATATATATGTATATTAAACGTGAAGTTGTACGCTTTAAGATACACATTGGAATTGTATGGTGGGTGAATTATATCTCAGTGAAGCATTAAAAGGACAGGGCGAAGCTCAGAGAAATTGGGTATGACATTGCTATCCAATCTATTGCTCACACAAAGATCAATCAATCTAGAAATATAATACAGTTTTCCATTTAGCAACCAGAGGACCAAATCTTCTCTTCCTCTTTTCCTTTTCTCCTTCCGCCTCTCCTTTGCTTTTGCTTCTTTCTCTTGGTTAAAGGCAATGTCCTCAGGTCAACTTGGTGCTTGACGTCCTCCAAGTGCTTTCCCCCTTTGTACCTAGAACAAACCGCATCTCCCACACCTTGCAGACCTTCGTGCTTGACGTCCTCCAAGTGCTTTCCCCTTTGTACCTAGAACAAACCGCATCTCCCACACCTTGCAGCCCTGGGCTCTGCTTTCCTTTCAGTTCAGCTTGTACCATTCTTTCTTTCTTTTCCACCGTTTCTTGAACTCTCCAGTCTTGATCCTGAACTTAACAAATTCTGCACTCATTTTCACTCTTCCTGTAATGCTTCCCCATGGATCTTCAAATGCCTAACTCTTGCTTCCTGTCATATCTTCACTTGAATGTCAAAACCATAGAGACTGCTGTCTGGCCACTCTCCTCATTCCTACCTGGGCAGAGCATGCATTAATGTCCTGAATGAGCAAAACAAGAGCCAGGATTTAAGACTCTCTTCTTGACCTAAAAGCAAGGGCAGAGCAAATGTTTTGTGTTGGGATGGAACAAAATGTATTTGTGCTATTGAAAATAAAACTGAACTAGATACTTGCACAAAATCTCCTGCTGCAGTTGAAGCTGAGTATCTTGCCCCCAAACAGCCATTCATCTGGAACCTTCGTGTTGAGCTTAGTGGTCCTGTTTTCCTCATGAGTCCGGCTTACAAAATTCGAGCACATTCTTTGAAAGACCTGGGTCATTTAATTTTTAAAATTGTTTTCTTTCTGAATAATCATTGTTACGTTAAATGTGGAATAGATGAACAAAATGCGTGTCAGAGGAAACTGCCCATCATCCCACCACCAGGTCAACTTGTTGGTACATGTTCACTTCGGATCACTCTCCTCTGTTCAGGAGTAACTCAGTGAAAAGTATGAAGAAACCTGATTTATAACAAGTATAAATAATTTTCACTCATAACTTAACAAGTCCATCTAACTCTTCTAACTGTTCATGTTTTCTACAAGTATTTACCCAGCGCTTAGTATGTGCCAGACTCTCTGCTGTTGTTCTTATTAGGTGCCACCAAGCGAGCGCCAACTCCTGGCCACCCATGCGTCCACTGGTGGCGGAGCACCCCCACAGTCTTTCCTGTTGTTCAACCCATTGTGTCAGTCCATCTCTTCGCAGCCACTATCGCAATCTATCTTGCTGGCCGGCTTTCTTTTTTTCACTGACTCTGTCGAACATCAGGTCGTTCTCCAGAGAGTAGCCTCTCCTACATGTCCAAAGTATGTGATAAAAGCGGTCTTGTCAGTTTCCACGTCATCTGTTAGGGAGGCAAATACAGAAGCACTGCAGTAGTGATTGGGCACTCTTACAGCTCTTATAATAATCTATACATCCATTGTGTCAAGTACTTTTGTTCAATTTTTTTATAGACTCTTTTTTCCAATAGTTTTATTGGCATATAAGCCACATATCATACAATTCAATTACATGAAGAGTTAGACAATCATCACCACCATTTTAGAACTCATTCTTCATTCTCATCATTATTAGTGCCCCATTTCCCCCAAACTCCCCTGCCACACCCTCAAGGAACCATTAGTGTAGTTACTGTCTCTACAGATTTACCTAACCTGGATTTCATATGCAGAAAACATTTTTAAAAAACTAACAAGAATAACAAAGTAAAACAGATACAAACCACAATTGAAAAGAAAGCAGAGAATAATAAAAACTAGAATAAATTTAAATGGATCCTACAGGAGATCCAATGATAGGGTGCTAAGTTTTAAGATAACTGTATCTGCAACAATCCACTTTCCAAAGTATTCTGCATGCTAGCAAGGATATGCCTGTCCCTGATCCATGGTCAGAGGGAATTCACCAGGGGCCACGGGTATTTCCTCTTCGTTTTTTTGTTTTTTTTAAACTGAAACAGCTTTAAAATGGGTCAAAAGGGATATCAAATTAAAAGATTACATTTTTATCTAACTATGTCTGCCTTAATAGACTTTGCAGTCATCTCTGCCTGATAACAGGGCTATTCATATCCCTCGACTAGGATCAAAGGGAATTCTCTGGAGACTTAATCCATGTGTAGACCTTGCAAATGGATTTTGGGCTTCCACTGTCATCCATAGCCTTCTGCAAACCAGGTGTTCACAATTTAAGATAGGATACCATTCCCTCTTTTAGATTTGGATTATATTCCTTACAACCGTTGGATCATGAAGCTGGGGTGCTTTTTCCATGTCATTTAGTTGATGCGTCTGACACCTTTCTACTTCCGTTTTTCTGTACAAAATAATTGCTTCCTCCTCTCTGTTCCCACCTAACTCTATAAATGTCTCCATAATAACATAGATCACCTTCTATTATAATAACATGACTTTCTTCATCATACTAAGAGGTCATAGAGGTGATGAACTTTGATTTTCTATGCCCATCTCCTGGTACACTTCCTTGGCACTTAATTGGTTACTAAGCACTCTATAACTGCATGATAAATTGAAAACTGAATGGATCATCTTTCCCCAAAATTTAAGAGCCCAACATATCCTGGGATGATACCCTCCACTGTTGACTTTGAACCTCACTTCAGACATCAGCAGGTTCTCAGAAGAGCTGTTGGGGTGTAAGTGAGTGACAAAGGGGCTATTCTGGCTGTACCTTGTGTCGTCTTGCAGGTGGTCCAGCTTGAGGAATTGCTGACAGTAAGACACTCTGTGTTTGTGGTGGGCAATGCCGGTACTGGAAAGTCTCAGGTGTTGAAGTCCTTGCACAAGACCTATCAGATCATGAAATGCCGACCTGTCTGGACTGACCTCAATCCTAAAGCAGTTACAAATGATGAACTTTTTGGCATTATCAATCCAGCCACACGTGAATGGAAGGATGGTAAGAATGGGGTCTCAGTTATCTCATACTGCTATAAAAAAAATTGCAAAAGTTCACATCAGCCTCTTGTCAATGGATTGCTCTATTGTTGAGAACACCATTCCTTGGTTTATAGACAATCCTCACACTATGTCTGTCTTTGTGTGTGTGTGTGTGTGTGTGCTCTTTCTATAATTCAGAGCCTACCCCAAACAGGCAATCCAATTTAATAAAAAGTTAAATCACAGTCCAGTCGGTTAACTGATTGCACCACAGTGTGCTGTGGAAGGTGATTGTATTACATTATCTTAGGCATATAGTCCTTACATCACATCACATGCTTCCCATTGCATCACATTATATTATGGACAGTAATCTGTTCTACCAAACCACACCGACTTAATCACATGTAACTACTTGGATATACCCGTCTGAAATCAGAGGCCATATCATGAATTGCTTTGACACATTGAACACTAACCAAACAAGACCAGATGCATTATGGGATGACATCAAGCACCTCAGACATCAAGAAAGCAAAAGGTCATGAAGACAGACATCTATTAGTAAGACTTAGCATCTTATCTTTTTATTGCTCTTCGTGATTTTATCTCCCCTGGACTTTTTCTGATTAGTCAGTGGAGTTCTTTATATAAAGGAGATGTTGATCCTTTATTTGCCATTTGCAGTGCTATTTTTTCCCTACCATTTACCTGTTGATGTTTATGGTATAACTTACCATAAACTTTCCTTTAGATTTTATTTCTGCTTGTATTTTTTTAACAGAAGCCCTCATAGCACAATGGTCAACCACTAGCTGTTCATAGGAGAGAAGATTAACAGTCTATTCCCATACAGACTACAGCCTAGGAAACCCTATGGGTCTACTCTACTCTGTCATGTGGGGTGACTATGAATTGATTCTACTTAGTAATATAGCATTTCTGTGAGCTGGAATTGACTCAATAGTATACAACAACACTCTGTTAGCATCTGGGATTCTTACTTAGCTTATAACTAACTTTCATCTATAGATATAGTGTCAAATCTGATTCTAAAGATTCTTTTCACATTAACATTTTTATCCATCTGGAAATTATTTTGGGGTTTAGGATGAAATAGTGTAGAGAATCAACGTTTTTTCTTCCAGATGGATAATTGACTGTGCCAGCACCATTTAATAAGTAAACCGTGCTTTTACTCAGAATTTAAACATGAGCTTGTAGTTTATTAAAACCTATACATACTGAAGAGCCTGCTGAGATCTGAAAGGTTGGCCGTTGGAAACCACCAACGGCTCCGGGGGAGAACGACTGAGCTTTCTATTCCCGTAAGCAGTTACAGTCTCAGCAGCCCACAAGGGCTCGATATGAGTCAGCATTGACTTGGTGGCAGTGAAGGAGCCCGGTGGCATAGTTGGTTAAGTGTTCGTACGCCAACTGCAAGGTCATCAGTTTGAACTCACCAGCTGCCTCACAGAAGAAAGTTAAAGATGCCTGCCCCCATAAAGATTTCGTTTCAGAAACCCTATGGAGCAATTCTGTGCTGTTTTATAGGGCCATTATTAGTCAGAATCAGCTCGACAGCAAGAAGTTTGTTTTGAATTTCCTTCGTATATACTCAGGTCTGATCCTGAGCTTTCTGTTCTGCTCCGTTCATCTATTTATCTAAGCTGATCCTCATGACAGGAGGGGCGTGACTCAAACCCACTGCCATGGAGTCTACTCCCACACAGACGATCACGTAGGAAGTCCGTGGAAGAGAGGCAGACCCTCCAGGAGATGGAGGGACACAGTGGGTGCAACAGTGGGTTCCCACAACCTGACAGCCATTGTGAGGATGGTGCAGGACCGGGCAGGCCTTCCTTCTGTTGTGCACGCTGCTTTGGGCCATTGTACCACCATGGGCAGGAACCTAGCAACAACTAAGCTAATTCTATTCTCATTTGGTTAAAATAATTTTTAAGCATGTAGTAATACCTGATAAAGTAAGTCATTCCTCAAAAGTCTTTGTGGTTTTCTTGGCTGTTCTCAGGCACCTTAGAGTTGAAGCCAATGTAGTTTGAATTTTCCCCACATTAGATTTAAGCCAGTGTAGTGTAATTCAGACTTTTAAACTCTGATTGAATTTTAATAAAATTTAACAAAATTTACACATTCAATTTGGGGGAAATGGTAAAGAATAGAATAAATCTAAAAAAGAGCACACTCATGCAAGTAACTAGACCATGGATTGTTTTTTAATGTTAGGATAACCTTGTAAAGTATAAATTTAGTGGGATATTTTAATATACCAAGCAAAACTAGACAACAATTGGCAAATACATCTCCTAGTTGTAAAATGTTGCATCCTGTGAATAGAAAATACTCCTTTCCTGATTGGTTCATGGAACGTTTCCAGAACTCAACATTTAGTTGGCTACAGAGGAAGTACAATGAATGAATTTACAGGCTACATTCTCTGATAATAATGCAATAGTTAGAATAAATAAATAAAAATACAAATTTGTTTCTATACACTTAATCACTAAATGCTCTCTCAACCCTTAGACAAAAGAGAAAATTACATTGAAGCCCATCTAGGAAGTAAGGAAAAGGAGAGGAATTCACCTAAAAGGGGAGGAAGGGAGAAGAGCATATCTAAAAACGATGGGAAAGTTTTAAACTCTTTATGATGGAAGGCAGGACAGTAATAAAGGGTGTTGGTAATCATATTAAGAAATTATTCAAACAGTAATAAACTAAACCTGAAGGAAATTAGAAAAAGGGGACTAATAAAGAAAAAAAATGAGATTATTGTAAAGGAACAATAGCCCCATCCTACCCACCCTCCCAAAATATATGTATATGAAAGATCAAACAAACCTGAAACTCAACTGCCATCAAGTTGATTCCAACTCACTGACTGTGGAATGGGGCAGAACTGCCCCTGTGGGTTTCTGAGGCTATAACTCTTTATGAGAATAGAAGGCCTCATCTCGTCCTGCAGGGTGGCTGGTGGTTTCAAACTGCTGACCTTGTGGTTAGCAACCCAAAGTGTAACCCACTTGTGCCACCAGGGCTCCATAAGATGGATAAACTCACTGTCCTAGAGTTGATACCAACTCAGACACCAAAACCATTTCCATTACATTTAGGGAGTCAGATAGGCCTACAATCAACATTATTCAGTGCTGCTAGGGTGAATGGGAGCAGTTCAAGAAAATGAAGTGAGACAAGCAAATGGGATATATGAGGTGATAGGAGGAATAGAAAAAATATATAGTTCTATTGATTATATGACATCATGCCTAGAAAGCCCAAGGTAAATAGTTTTTAAAAATCACCAAAAGTAATAAGAAAATAATTTAAGGTAATGAAATATACTCACTGCCACCCCGTCTATCCTGACTCATAGCAACCCTATTGGACAGAGTAGAACCTCCTGTTGCGTTTCCAAGGCTGTAAATCTTCACGAGGTTCGGAGCCTCATCTTTGGCTGGAGGGGCTGCTGAGCATTTCAAGCTGCTGGCCTGGAGATTAGCAGCAGCTTTTAACGAAACTAGCAATCGGGAAATGGAAATGCAGGAAAAAATACATCCCATTCACAGTTATTTGGAAATCAAAGTTGAGTTGATTACAGCTTTGTAATTCATGGTAACCCCATGTCTGTCAGTGTAGAACTGTGCTCCGTTGGGTTTTCAATGACTGATTTTTCAGTAGATCTCCAGGACTACCTTCCCTAGGTGCCTCTGGGTGGACTCAAACTTTCCACTTTCCCTTACCACAATGACCAAGTACCGAGCATGGTAATTGTTTGCACCACCCAAGGGGCTGTAGAAGGATTTGAGATTACTGTTAGTAAAAGAGACACCTGGGGAAAAACTGTAAAACTGTTTTCCATATCATAAAAGAATCAGAACAAATGAAAAGATATAACCATTTCATTGACTTGGAAAACGAAATATGGTAAAACTCAATTCTAACCAAATAAATTTCCTATCAGGCCAATTATCTTCTGGGGCCTCTTGTCCATTAGAAAGACAATATTATTAGGTGGTGATGTTGTACTTGAGCTCAGAGGAAATGGCTCCTAGAGCAGTGTTAATAACAATTGAGCACTTGGCTACTAACAGAAAAATCCACAGTTCAATACCACCAAAGGCACCTTGGACAAAAGGCCCAGAGATCTACTATTGAAAAATCAGTCGCTATAAACTCTATAAAGCACAGTTCTATCCAACACCAAGAACTGGAGTTGCCTGAAAGGTCAGCTGGTTTCTTTGTTGTCTTCTAAGTATTGTTCCCATTGACATTGAGTCAATTCCAACTTACAGACATCCTCTAGGGCACAGTAGAACTGCTCCCTAGAGTTTCAGAGGCTGCAAATCTTTCCGAGAGCACAGAGCTCCATTTCTCTCCCCAGACACAGCTGGTGAGTTTGAACTGCTGACCTGGCAGCTGCACAACATGTAACCCACTATGCACCAGGGCTCCTGAGTTTTGTCCAACCCAAAACTCATTGCCATTAAGTCCATTTCTCCTCGTGCTGCTAGCAGTCTTATATGGGTCTTCTGAGACTGTAAAGCCTTACATGAGCTGACAGGCTCGTCTGTCTCCCAAGGAGCAGCTGGGAGCTTTGAACCAGCCCAGCGTCTACCCACAGTTCTAGCAGGGCTCCCTGCTGAGGATTGGAGGGTGTTGGGAGAAAGTGGGTCAGTGGGGAGGTGGGAAATCCTCCCTGTGTTGCTCTTTCTAGGACTGTTCTCTTCCATCATGAGGGAGCTCGCCAATATCACCCACGATGGGCCCAAGTGGATTTTGCTGGATGGCGACATAGATCCCATGTGGATTGAATCTCTGAACACTGTCATGGACGATAACAAGGTATCTAGGGGGAAGGGAATCCCCACACCATCCCTAAGTCAAGGCCCTCATTAGGGAGTTGCCCACCGGGTGACCTGGCCAGAGGGAGTGACATCAAAATGACACTGTACAATGTTGCCCTGCATTTTGGCAGATGTTTATAAAAAGCATCCTTGTAGTTAGTGTTAACCGCAAAAATCTTTTTGGTAAGCTCACCTTACATGTATCACGTGTATACAATGCTAACCTTCTATGCTGGTTTTCTTTGTGAACCTTCCAGTGTGCCCTGGTCTGATCTTTCATTGTCACCAGATTACGAGGATGCTTTAAATCACCTGCTGTCACCCACACATGGCTGCAATTGTGAGGGTGGAGCAAGACCAGGCAGTATTTTATTGTATTGTGCAGAGGTCCCTCTGAGTTTGGAAGTGACTCTCTGGCATTCAACAACAGAATTTCCGAGCCTATGTCAATAACTTTTATGAGAATGAAGTAGTAAATAAATGAAAAGAAGGCAAAAAATCAAAAAGCATTTGCTCAGTTATCATTAAGTTTGTAACTAATTATGGCGGTGTGTTTAGCATGATTGGAGTTCAGTGCTTCAACAACTTTTTCACACGGGTTCATTTAATCCTCTCAAAGAGATCTTTAAAAAAATCAAATCAAATCATATTGGGGATTAGTTTGCTTTTTAAAAAATAAAACAAATTATCTGGAGATAAAAAACACCTGAGCCTTGTTGGATAGCCTCAATAGTGGCAAGTCTTTATCCATTTGGAGTGCATTTGACTTTTCATAAACAAGGAAAACTCACTGAAAGCCCGTGAAACCAATATTGAGCTTTGTGTTTCCGGGCGACTCCTCAGTGTGTTCAGAGCGTTCTTCCAGAATAGAGGTCTTAAACATCATTTCCACACTTATAGACTCAGGAGAAATGCGTGCTCTTCCAAAGAAACCACTTGAAAAGAAGCAGTCGCCATATGAAACCTAAATGCTTTCCCTTTATATTTCGTCTTACTTGACCCTCGGCTAACAAATGTCTGGCCAGCTGCTTCTGAAATGCGCCATGAGAACCCCATGAGTCACCACACTGCCAAGCAGCAGACCATGGGATGATGCCGCGGCAGGCAGGACGCGGGTCTGTTTGGCACGGGTCTACATCCGTAAAAAAGGCAGCCAGCCACACCAGGAGCTGCCGTTGAGTTAACACTGACGCATGCTGCCCCTGTACGTGCCACGGGGTTGCTGGCCCTGCTCCCCGGGATCTTCCAGGGCTCACTGTTCGAAGAAGATTGCCAGGTCTTGCCTGAGAGGTGCCTTTGGGTGGTCTGAAAACTCCAGACCGGTGGTCAGCAGCCACGTCCATTAAACACATGCCCAGCCCACCCCCCGGAACTTTCCCAGCAACGTTAAAGTAATTGACATCAGTTTAAATGTATTAAATCTCTTCTTTTTTCCTGACCGGCATACAAGGGTGGGAGTTGACAGAGAAGAGAGGGAGAGAAAAAAAGGATTGTTGTCAAGGGGAAAAAATTACAAAACAATGACAAGCACCAAGAAGAAAATAGGCCACCAGGTAGCCATGCACCCCAACTCTGTCCTAAAAGGCATGCCCCCCTCTGTGTTCCAGGTGCTGACCCTGGCAAGCAACGAGAGGATTCCCCTTAATCCCACGATGAGACTGCTCTTCGAGATCAGCCACCTGCGCACAGCCACCCCAGCAACGGTCTCCCGAGCAGGTCTGTCTGCAGACCAGGCTTGGGCCCAGAATGAAAAGTAACACCAAGCTCCAAGCGGGAGCCAGAAATGGATCGTCTGAAACACTGACCTAGTACTCATGTCTTATTCACGTGCTCTTGGATGGAAACAGACTGTACGACTAGGGTCACACGACTTTTCTAATTCTAAGTTGCTGTACTCCTGGGATGGCAAATGTCCCTGAGCTGGACAACTGTCGGCTACACACAAGGGCCTGCTTTTAGGCCAGTTCTAACCTCCATACCAATGCCGATGACCCAGCCTTGCCATTTCTCTGGTTGCAAAATGTCAACCTCAGAGCTTCACCTTTCCTGCTCACCACTGACCAAATTTGTTAGCAGGCACTTAAGGATAAAGAGAACTCGTTTGTTCTCGTCAGGTCCCCTTTTAAGGACCTGTGCTGAGGTTAGTAAACTCAAGCCAGGAGAATCGTCTCTTGCTCTGTATGAGTTACCTACGGCTTCCAAATTAGTGCAGTCTTGTGGCTTAAGACCACAGAAATTTAGTCTCATAGCTGTGGAGACTAGAAGTCCAAAATCAAGGTACTAGCTGGGCTGGGTTCCCTCTGAGGTTTCTGTGGAAGAAAGCTTCCTTGCCACTTTTAGCTTCTGGTGGCTCTTAAACTGGAGCTTTCTCTTGGCTTCTGGTTGCATCTCTCTGCCTCCACCTTGCATTGTCTTCCCTCTAAGTGTGCTTCTCCTCTTCTTTTTCCTAGAAGGTACTTGTAAGATAATTCTAGATGTTCTAGGGTGACCTCATCCCGTGAGCCTTCATTCAATTCTACCTACAAGACTTTTTCCAAATAAGGTCACATTCATAGATTCCAGGGGTCAGGACCTGAACACAAATTCTTTTAGGATCCACCATTCAACCTCCTACACACTCTGTAACAAGTACTGCTAATCAGTCTTCTTCATCTTGAGCTTCAGTGAGACCTTTAGGATCCTGTTGAACACAATTCTCCGTACAGCTGTTGTTTGAACTTGGTCCTCAAGAGCAAATCTCTTTGGCTCCTCAGACTCAGGTCAGAGTTTGGTTCTTTAGAAAATCCAGACTTCTGTAGTTTTCCTAAACAGAGAAAATGCCCGTTAGGCATGAAGACCATGCTCACATCTCTGAAAGCCTCACTGGGTGATATTCTCTGTGCTCCCAGGCATCCTGTACATCAACCCAGCAGACCTGGGATGGAACCCTCCAGTGAGCAGCTGGATCGACAAGCGGGAAGTCCAGACAGAAAGAGCAAACTTAACCATTCTATTTGACAAGTACCTTCCAACCTGCTTAGACGTGCTCCGAACCAGGTAGGCAATCAATCAAAGAAACAAGGTTGCAAGCCAAAAGAGCAGCAACTAACCTGTGGCTCACACCTGATGCCCTGCTGATGCTCTCCCCTAGCCCCACATCCCATGTCCCAGAGCACTTCCCTGCAGACACAGCGGATGACAGAGAGGGATACATATGAATGGGGACCATGTATGAAATGTCTGTTTTCAGTGCAGGAAAGCAAGGAGGTACATGAAGAGGAGGAAGATTTGGAGTGCCCATAGTGAGTGCCATGTGGGTATCACATCAGATAACAACAGCCCTAATACCCAGACCCTTCAGACTGCACGGCCAGAAGCCTGCCCTCTGCTTTGGTCCACCAGGGCTACCATAACTCAAAGCAAAAGTTCACTGCCATTGATTCCATCCTGACTCATAGCAATTTCATGAGACAGAGTGGAACTATCCCAGGGTTGACAAGAGTCAAAAACCTCATCTTTCTCCCATGGATCAGCTGGTGGTTTCAAACTGCTGACCTAGTGGTTAGCAGCATAGCTAGCAACCCCGTATGCCCCCAGGACTGTAAGTAGCACAAAATGAATGAGTGGAAGGAGCTGCTATTTATTGTCTGGTAGCTTTGGAAGCTAAAGTCCAAACCAACGTGTCCATTCTGAGGAAGGTCCTCTTTTGTCTCATTCAGCTTCTCATCATTGCTGGCCATCCTTGATGTTCCTGGGTTTATAGATAGCATCTGCCCCCATCGTCACTTGGTGTCTGTCCTGTGTATTTGTCTCTCTGTGTCTGTTCTCTTTCTAAAACACCACTCAAAAGAGATGAGGTTTAGGACCCACCATGCTCTGTGTTAATTCTTTAGCTTAAAAAAACCCCTATTTTCAAACAGGATCACATCCACAAGTAAAGGAATTAGTGCTTCAACATATTGGGGGGCGGGGGGCAAGTAAGGAAAAAGATTGAGTCTGTAACACATTCCTACAAATAAGCCACAGGCCAGACCAAGTTGTGAAGGTGGCACCGCTGAGTGCCACGTGAGGCTGCTTGCCATTCCTAGCTGTGGAGGTCCATGACTCAGACAATGTGGGATCAGGTAGAACTCATCACTTGGCTAGTCTTGTCCCTCTGGACACTGGGGAATCACACTCCCTCCTACAGATTTGCCAAAAACAAAAGCAGTTAGCCTTGACCACCTGCCACATAACTCGAAGATTAGTTACTCTTAACCAAAAGTGTACTTCTTCCAGCACAGTATATGCATAAGCAGAGACCACCAAGCTAAAGAAGCAATTCTATCAAACTCAAGAGTCCTCAGACATCCTACATCTCAAAATAAATTGAGTGAATATACACCCTACACTCAGTCTGCCTCGTTAGTGTAATAAAGTCACCCATTCCCAACCACAGTTCTGGGGGCTAGTATTTACAACCCATATTTGGAGGAGTAGTCACCATTCGATCCAAACAGCACCTATTGTGACTCTTGAGATGCTTTGTGATGACTGAGGAAACAGGCCAGTGAGACCTGTGAGGTGTTGACTTGTATTGTTGCCGCTGCCTATTACCCAAGGACTGAGGGAGCGAGCATCAGTCTTCAGAAACCAAAAAGAAGGGTGTCAGAGGAAAGATGAGAGGAAGCTGTGTGAGTGGCTTACTGTTGCCCTGACAATACCACCAAATGCATTGTCTCACAGTTCTGGGCGCTGCCGGTCTGAAACCAGGGTGTTAGCTGTATTGATGACTGCTGAGGGCTCTGAGAGAAAAGCTGGTCCATGGATCTCTCCCAGCTTCTGGTGCTCCTTGGCATTCCTTGGTTCATACATCACTCTACTGTCTCCTCCTGGCCAGCCTTCCTCTGCTTCTTTCTCTGTGTTTATTCTTCGCTGTTATAAGGGCCCACCCTTCTCAAATATGGCTTCACGCTGCTTTTAATATCTTTTAAAAACCCTAAACCCAATCAAGGTGGCATTCACAGGACCCAGAGATTAGTACTTCCACAAGTCCTTTTGAGGGGTGTAGTTAGGTCCATTAAAAGACTTTCCTGCATAGTTCTCTTTCTTCTCTTTTTTTAACCAAAGGACTTGACCCAAGGATAGCTGATGAGAATAACCACCACAGTCCTCTCAGTCCCCGAGAATCTGATAAATCACGAGTCCACCAAAACCAGATGGGCTAAGTGTCTAGCCAACAGGAGACCAGGATAGAATGTCCCTGGGCTTTACAACACTTTGGGGTCTCTCTGTGCAGATTTAAGAAGATTATCCCAATCCCGGAGCAGAGCACGGTGCAGATGCTGTGCTACCTTCTCGAGTGTCTCCTGACCACGAAGGACATCCCCACAGACTGCCCCAAAGAAATTTATGAACTTTATTTTGTGTTTGCCGCTATCTGGGCCTTTGGAGGAGCATTGGTCCACGATCAGGTAAGAGGATGTGCTGGTGTTACTACCACCTTCTAGACTGCACACACAAACACTGGTGTTTTTCCAACCAAATTTGGAAGATGTGACCCTTAAGGGTCAGAAGCACCTTGTTAGACCCAGTGTCGTAGAAAAGCCTCCCTGGATGAGAGAGAAGACTGTGATATGTTCAGAGCTGTTTGTTTTCAGGTTCATGAACATATCTTGTCATCACTGGAGGAGTCGCAAGGTTGGCATCTGAACAACCATGGGCATAAATGCACCTGCTTCACCAGGTGATGTGAGTTTCCTACAGAGGGAAGTAGAATGATCATGTACTGTAGAACCTTGAGTGGCCAGAATCCTTTTAGCTTTCTAAAAATAACTTTAGAACTAGGATGATATTGGGCTGTTCTCTACCAGACCAGAGTTGACCATCCTCCATATCCCTGACACACAATAAAATGGGGCAAAATTAAGAGACACATAAGGTGTGAGAAATCCAGGTATATTTTATCTCGTGATGCTGCTTTCTGTGACCTCCTTGTTTGGTGTGCGGCGTTTTAGCTTGGAGTACCTTGGAGTGAATGGCGTCCATGTGCTCTTAACCCTGCCTAAATCCCCAGCCGGTTTCTTTTCTTCTCATTAAAAAAAAAAAAAATCTACCTAAAAACAGTGCAATCAAAAATAGGCAAGGCAATCAGCAGTCTTTAAAAACTGAGACATGCTAGCTATCGAGCAGTGTCATTTAGTGGTTAAGAACATGGATTCTGGACCCAATAGTACCTGAGTCTGACTTAGAATTCTACCACGTATCAGCCTGGACACCCTGAGCAAGTTATTTAACTTCTTTCTACCTTACACTTCCAATGTGTACAAAGGAGATAAAGATGGTGAAGATTAAGCAAACTGTAGTATTCTAATTGTCTGACACAGCTACTATCAGCCCCCAGGTAATTAATATCCAGTTGAACTACATGCAGTAATTATGAATCAGCCCCCATAAAAATTTGAGATACACCTAATAGTTTATAATAAGTGAGAACTACTTTGTGAAGTACATCTAAATGTTATTATTACTATTGGATTATTATGTTAAAGATGTTTTAGTGTATCCTGGGGTGTTTTATGCTGTGTACACATTAAAAGGTCTGATATATACATAAAAAAATCAAAAGGTATTGTCGAATATCATACACATCTTTATTAAATGAAAATATAAAAATATAACACTCTTGTTGCTCAATATAACCTCCATGAAAGTCTACATGTCCAAAGGCAGTATTTTCATTTCCCCAATGTTTCTCCACAAAAATTCTGTCCTCTGATTTACACCAAATCAAAACACACTTTGGCATCCTCAACTCAAAAAAAAATAAATAAATAGAAACCAAAGCCACTGCCATTGATGCCACAGTGACCATGAGGGAGAGCAGACCTGCCCTGGTGGGTTTCCGAGGCAGTAAATCTTCATCAGAGCACAAAGCATCATCTTTCTCCCTCAGAGAAGCAGCTGAGTTTGAACTTCAGACCTTTAGGTTAGTAGTCCAACGAGGAACCCAATACACCACTAATTCATGTTCCTGTGACATGTTCTTTTAGTTTGAGAAACAAAAAGAAGTCTGCTGGAGCAACCTCAGGGCTGCAGAGTGGGTGGGGTAAAGTTTCTCCTGACAGTTCTAAAAGGATAGCCTCTCTACCCTTGAAAAATGAGCAGGTGCATTGTTGTGATGAATAAAAACATCAGTACACTTTCCTGGACTTTCACTCGCCAGTACGGTTTTTAATGTTCTTTAAAATGCTTTGCAATAAGTTTCCCTGACCTTCAGGTGTCCTTTGGAATCCCAGAAACATAGTTGCCATAACCTTCTGAGCTGACTCTGCCTTGAATTTGAATTTGACTGCTCCGTATCTCTTTAAGAAGTCACTGTTTCTATTAGACCCTGCTCTCTAGCTCATAGAGCATATTTATAAGCCCAGCACATATCCCCACCTATGATCCACCTCATAAAGTTATACTCCTTAGTTGGATGGGAGGAGCAAGTCTTTGAGCTGGATGACCTCCCCACAACCCTGTTGGTACCCATCCTGCTGAGAGCTTTCTGGGGTCCAAGCTTTTTGTTTAAACTTGAAAACTCCAAGTGATGTATGATCTCAATTTCAGTAGCTCTTGTACCAATGGTAATTCTGCCTTGTTCTTCCACTAGCTTCTGGAATTCAATATTTCTTTATTCATTGAGGCTGACAACCTTCTGTCTCGACTTATTTTTGAGATATTCTTGACTGTCCTTAAAATGCTTGATCCATTTTAAAACTGTTGTTTCATGTGAGGCAGCATTGCTACAAAACTTCTGTTTGGTAAGATGTCCACTTGAATCTTTGTTAATTTTTTTTTATTAGACTCTATCTCAAAACATTTTTTCATGGCATAAAAATTATTTTAAGGCACCCTAATAAGATGGTGTCATGGAAGCAACTCAATGCCATTGAACTGCAGTCCTTTTGGGTAGCAGTGCAATGTCTACCCAAATGTACCACCAGGGCTCCTACCTCTAAGGTTAATATTTATGAGGCGTGAATGGCTCAGGGGTCAAATTGTGTCTTCCATGCAAGAGATCTGGCTATGATTCCTGGACAATGCACCTCATGTGCAGCCACCCACTCATCCATCGGTGCAGGTTTATATTTTGCTATGATACAGAACAGGGTTTGTTGTGACTTTAGACTAAGACAGAAAAGGAAGAAGGGTTGAAGATTTCCTTCCAAGAAGCAGTCAATGAAAACCCTATGGGTTACAATGATCTGATCTGCAGCCAATTGTTTTGTTCTATTGCGCATGGAGTCACCGAGAGTCAAGGGTCCATCGGTAGAGCTAAAACACCAGTAACCTGATGCCTCTTCCAAAGCAGGGGTCAAACCAAGATGCAGTTGTTGGAAAGTTATGATTTAGTCTGGGCTGGGACGATTGTGGAACTTTTTTCGAGGAGAGGGGTAAAAGTTGAAGCCACCTAGGGCAAAGCCATGTTTTAGAAATCTAAGTTGGAGGTGAGCCGAGACAAAAAGAACGAACAATAGCCTTTTTGTTTTCACAGATTCTTGGTTGTAACGTCCATCCGGTCTCTCATCACTTCCTGACATATTTTTTTTTTTGGTGCCCCAAATTCAGAAGACAGTTCTCAGTGTCTAGGGACTTTTATATTTCTCCTTTCCCAGAGCCAGATCCTTGGGGAGCAGGAGAGGGATTGAAGAGAAGAATGAGGGGGTCTCCCACAACAGGAGCGTGCCTTTGGGAATTCCATGTGTCTGTTCATCAATCCCCGGTGCTTCCTCAAGGAACTGCTTCTCTGACAGCTGTACATCTGAGGCAAAGGAAACAAAGACTGCGGAAAGCTGGCGGAGAACTAGCTGAATGTACAGGGATCCCCAAAACATAGCTTATTGCTTTCTACCGAACGCAATCTCTGACGTTTAGCTGCTGAAATGTCAGACAGCAACTGCGGACTTTGTGTCTCATGTCTGTGCTGAGCAGCCATGGGGGTAACAGGATGAAGTACCTGGTCAATTTTCCTATCTCTGTACAGAAAACTTTAAATCCACTCAACTTGTATTAAAAGCCTAAGAGAAAGCATTCCCCCAGGTGTCCCGGGCTGGGGAGCAGTTGGAGCCGTGGGCAGCAGTGCTGGCTCACGGGAAGAGGAAAAGGGAGAAAGCTTTTAGCAGCAGGGGATGCCCAAGACCCCTCCACAACCTGCTTTAAAGATAAACACCAGAAATAGGACCGTAAATGGAAAAGTAGGGATTTTGCCAAAATACTTTCATCAGGAACACTGATGGTGCTTGCATTTAAAAGGCTGCATGAAAGCAGAGCAGAAATAGAAAATGGAATCCGGGGCTCAGTCCTGCCTGTGGTTCTGAGTCAATTCTGACTCATGGTGACCCTGTGTGTGTTATAGTACAACTTTGCCCCATATGGTTTTCAGTGGGTGGTTTCCCAGAACTGCTTCTGAAAGTGCCAGGCCATGTTTGGAAGGTAGCGCTGGGTGGACTCAGAACCCCAACTTTGGGCCTAGCCACCGAGCATTTTAACTCTTTAATGCTTCAGAAGGACTACAACGAATGTGTGTTCTCTACTTCGTAGCCATCAGAGGGGTGGTATCTGTTCAAAGTATTTAGTAGAAAAAAAGCACTAAATTGCAAAGGTGGGCCTAAGTTCAGTTCCCAATCCTGCCACATGCTTCCGGTGGTGGAACTTTTGTGCGTTTTTTGCCTTGTTGTGTATAAAAGAGGAATCATTGAGCCAGCATAACGTAGAGTTCTGTGAAGATCGAAGAAGGTGTGATTGTATTGCAAACTTGACTGTAGCAGCCGGGTGCTGTTGCTAGGGACCCTCTGGTTGGTTCCAACTCATAGCAACCCTAGGCTCAACGGAACAAAACGCTGCCTGCTCCTCTGTCATCCTCACAATTGTTTTGCTTAAGCCCAGTGTTGCGGCCTCCATGTCAGTCCATCTCCATGAGGGTCTTCTTCTTTTTTTGCTGCCCTTCCACTTTGCCAAGCATGATGTCAACTTTCCATAGACTAGTGTCTTCTAATAACATAGCCAAAGCCCACGAGACAAAGACTCACCATGCTCACGTCTATGGAGCTGGCTGTGCTTCTAAGACAGTTGTTTGTTCTTCGTGACAGCCCACAGTACTCTCAGTATTCTTCACCGCACAATTCAAATAGGCATCAAGTCTTCTCTGGCCTTCCTTATTCAGTGTCCAACTTTCACGCGTATCTGAGGCAATTGGAAGGATCATGGTTTGGGTCAGGGGTGCCTTAGTACTCAAAGTAATGCCTTTGCTCTTCGATACTCTAAAGAGGTCTTATGCAGCAGGTTTACCTAATTCAGTATGTTTTTTGATCCCCTGACTGCTTCCTCCATGAGCATTGATTGTGCATCCAAAGACGTTGAAACACTTGACAACCTCAGTCTTTTCTCCATTACAGCATCCTAGTGAAGTCTTCCTGTAAAGAGTAAAGAGTAAGGCGTAAACCCAAGGATTGTCAGAATGCAAAACAGAAGACACTTTGACAGGGGCCTCTCCATAGGTGTTCTTTGCTGAGGAAATAACAAGAGGTGAACTAATAAAGAACCACTGGATTGTCTCAGCAGAGTTGGCCATGCCTTTACAGTGTCCAATTACAACAGAAGGTTACCAAATCGCAGGAATTGGGCTGAGGTAATGTAGGTGTGGAGCAGCTCATGGCTTGGTTGGGAAATTGGTCACGACATACAAAGGGGAATTGAGGCTGAGGCACGGAGAAGACCTATACAACTTCGCTTTTTTTCTAGCGCTGGCCCTCATCTTAAATCTTCCTAAACCTAAAACCTTGTTTTTATAGACAGGTAAAAGTCTTCAAGTGTTTTATACGTGAGTTAAAAATAGGGATCGCCACCCCCAAACCAGGCTTCTTATTGGAAAGAACAATATTGAGAAGCAGTAATGTTCTCTTATTATGAATTCATATCAGAATAAGAACAGCAAACAAAGCTGTCCTTATCTTAGAACCTGGGCCTAATTCCCATTTTCATTTCTGAGCAAATAAGCTCAGGCTCATTTATTTCACAGGCAGTAAGATGAGAGGCAGAGGAGCCCTGGTGGTGGTGCAGTGCTTACCCTTTGGAGCGCGATCCGCATGGTCTGCAGTTTAAAACCACCACCAGCTCCAAGGGAGGAAGACTGGACTGTCTACTCCCATGAACAGTTACAGTCTCAGGAGCATGCTGTGCGTCAGCAGTGACTCGATGGCTGTGAGTTTGGGTTTTTGGAACATAAGTGGAGCTGGCTCTAGGCCCAGAGTCTTTGCCGTGTGCTCTGCGAGCCCCTCACAGTCCCTGAAGCCCATCCTTGCCCTGCTCTGTGAGAAAGGAATATTTCCTACAGAGATCAAAGTAGGCCTAAGACTTTCCCTAGACCTTCGTGTTCTAAGGTTGGGTTTGCTCCCCAAAGAGCTGTTACCAGCAGTATTTTGCTATGAGTGTGTACATGTGTATCAAAGTGTGTGTATGTGTGCGCGTGCACGTATGTGTACATATGTATATATGAGACTTGTGCATGTGTGTGTGTATGTGAGGGTATGTAAATGTGTCTTGACTTGGCCACAATAGCATAATTTGAGTCCATTAGGTGCACTGTCCTGTCCCTCGGGGACTCACAGCTAATAGGTATGCAGGTAAATTAGACGCCTTTGCTTCTTTCTTCTGCCCCAGAGCTTTGTTTTCTCTACTGCTCCTATATTTTAGAATTTTACCATTGAGGGAACTTTTTTGTTATTGTTGTTGCTGGTAGGTGCTATCGAGTTGGTTCTTTTTCATACCAACCCTCTTTACAACAGAACGAAGTACTGCCCTATCCTGTCCTGCGCCATTCTCACCAACATTGTTCTATTTGAGCCCTTGTTGCTGCCACTGGGTCAATTCATTTCCTTGAGTGTCTTCCTCTTTTTTTTTTTTTCCCCTGCTGCCCTTGTACTTTGCCAACCATGATGTCCTTTTCCAGGGACTGGTCTCTCCTAATAACATGCCCTAGGTACTTGAGATGAAGTTTCTCCATCCTAAATTCTAAGAATTCCTCTGCTGTACTCATGCCAAGGCACATGTGTGTGTCCTGGCATTTGAGGGACTTTCAGTATTCTTTGCCAACAACCCACTTCAATTGCATCAGTTGGCCTGTAGCCTTCGTTATTCACTGTCCAGCCTGACACGCCTATGATGCAAATAACTTAGAAATGTTTTCTAGAATCCTCTGTTTACAAATGAGGAGGCTGGGGTACAGAAATAAGCAATCTGCCTGGAGTTAAGTACCTGGCTCTCCTTCTGGGGCTCTTAGAGGTGAACAGTCTTATGAACATGTTCATCTGACTGCCGTTCTGGAAAGGGCTCACATTCCAGGAACATCTCTAGAGGATGAAAGTGGTTCATCTCTGGGAGTTAGTGGGCCACAGTTGCCCGTCTTGTGGTCAGGGTCTCCTATCTCCTTAACTCTGCTCTAACCCCTGAACCCACTATGATGAGCTGTTGACCCCGCTCTCAGGTGTTCTAGTGTTGGGCAACTCAACTGCAGAGTCCAGCAAAGGTGCTGCCATACTGCACAGCAGCAGCGGCCCAGAGACGCGTGACTGCTATTTGAATTCTGAGAATGCTGTGGAGTCTGCTCTTAGACCATAGTATCTTGATGCTGCATGGTTTCTTTGACAGTGCCCACTGCTGGGCCTCATAGCTCCTCAGAGGAGCAATGATTTTCAAAGGAGTGGGGTCCACTGGGCAGGAGTGCAGGGCAGTGCTTGTGCCCTGCCTTCTGCCCAGTGTCTTGGTGGACTGTCTGTGTGGCTTGAACCCTGCAAGACCCATTCTCCCTGATGCCTTCATGTTTGCAGCTTGTGGACTACCGGGCAGAGTTCAGCAAGTGGTGGCTGACCGAGTTCAAGACAGTCAAGTTTCCTTCCCAGGGAACCATCTTTGACTACTACATAGACCCAGAGACCAAGAAATTTGAGACTTGGTCCAAGCTGATCCCGCAGTTCGAATTCGATCCAGAGATGCCTTTGCAGGTGAGTGGGCTGAATGGGCCCGGGAAACTACAGCGCTTCCTGGAGTAGGCCTGTATCAGAATTCACATGGTTTATCTAAATGGATCTAAGGGATAAGCACTGGGCTGCTAACCGCAGGGTCAACAGTTCAAACTCACCAGCTGCTCTGCAGGAGAAAGATGAGGCTGTATGCTCTCATTAAAGATTCACAGTCTTGGAAATCCTATATAGGGCTCTATGAATTGAAATCAACTCAATGGCAGGGGAGGTAGATGGTACAAATAGTTAAGCTGTTAACTGAAAGGTTGGAGGTTCAAGTCCCCTCAGAGACTTCTGAGAAGGACCGGGTACCCTACTTCTTTCTGTATGGAGCCCAGTTCTACTCTGACATACACGGTGTCGCCATGAGTTGGAATCAACTCGATGACAGTGGTTAGGAACTAGTAGGCCCGCAAATGTATGCTTTTGCCGCCAATGGCTAGCAGACTTCAATACCAAGCCAAGCAGACATCCTGTAGGGAGAGGAATAATATGGGTGGACGATTCCTAACTACAGGGAAAGGGGCCATGGAGAAACAGAAGAGAGCTGGGAGAGGAGAGTGGGGATACTTTATCTCTACCCAACTGCTGAGAACCCGGAATATGAATTTATAAGGTGCTCTCACTGGATCGGGGATAATGCCAAACAGCCCTTCTTACTGGACTCCCTGTATGCTGCAGGTGATTAAGAGTCTCAGCTATGAACAGAGGGATGGAGGCTCAAGTCCCCCCAGATAGATCTTGAAAGAGAGGCTAGTGATCCACTTCCAAGAAAAGCCCATCCACTGAAATCTCGAAGGAGCACGGTTCCCCTCTGATGTTCTTCGGGGCCCCAGGAGTCAGGGTCCACTCAGCAGCCGCTGGCCGGCCCTTGGTTGGCCTGGCCTCCACGAGCCCCTTTGCTCACGGTGTCTCTGTCTCAGGCATGCATGGTGCACACGAGTGAGACCATCCGCGTGTGCTACTTCATGGAGCGCCTTCTGGAGCAGCGTCGGCCTGTCATGCTGGTGGGCGGTGCAGGCACCGGCAAGTCCGTGCTGGTGGGAGCCAAGCTGACCAGCCTGGATCCCGAGGAATACCTGGTGAAGAATGTGCCTTTCAACTACTACACCACCTCAGCCATGCTGCAGGGTGAGGAGCCTGGCAGGGGGTGGAGTGGGGGTGGGGCGGGGATCTAGGTGGCCTTTGTCACCGAACACAGAGCTGCCGCAGTGTCAAGACCTGCGGGACTTGCAGGGCCAGGGCCAGCTTGGTGCATTTTCTTTCACTCTCCTTTCTCACTGCACCTCTCCTTCCCTTTGCGGCAGCTCTGTCCCTCTTTTTATTTTTAATCATTTTACTGGGGGCTCATACAACTCTTATCACAATCCATACCTACATTCATTGTGTCAAGCACATTTGTACATTTGTTGCCATCACCATTCTGAAAACATTTGCTTTCTACTTGAGCCCTTGGTATCAGCTCCTCATTTTTCCATTCCCTCTCCACCATCCCCCATGAACCTGTGATAATTTATAAATTATTATTGTTATGTCATGTCCTACACCAGGGGTCCTCAAACTTTTTCAACAGGGACCAGTTCACTGTCCCTCAGACCGTTGGAGGGCCGGACTATAGTTTTTAAAAAAAACTATGAACAAATTCCTGTGCACACTGCAAATATCTTATTTTGAAGTTAAAAAACAAACAGGGCAAAAACACCCGGCAGACCAGATAAATGTCCTCGGCGGGCCGCATGTGGCCTGTGGGCTGTAGTTTGAGGACCCCTGTCTTATACTGTCCCATGTCTCCCTTTACCCACTTCTCTGTTATCCGTCCCCCAGGGAATAGGATCTATGTAGATCCTTGTCATCTGTTCCCCCTTTCTCCCTCATCTTCCCTCCACCCTCCGGGTATCGCCACTCTCACCACTGGTCCTGAGGGGTTCATCTGTCCTGGATTCCCTGTGTTTCTGGTTCGTATCTGTACCAGTGTACATCCTCTGGTTTAGCCGGATTTGTAAGGTAGATTTGGGATCATTATAGTGGGGAGGGTGGAGGGTGGAAGCATTTAGGAACTAGAGGAAAGTTGTATGTTTCATTGTTGCTACACTGCACCCTGACTGGCTCATCTCCTTACCATGACCCTTCTCTAAGGGGATGTCTATTTGCCCACAGATGGGCTTTGGGTCCACACGCCACACTCCCCCTCAGTCACAATGATATGATTTTTGTTCTTTGATGCCTGATACTTGATCCCTTCAACCCTTCATGATGTGCTTCTTCCATGTGGGCTTTGTTGCTTCTCCAGCTAGATGGCTGCTTATTTTTCTTCAAGCCTTTTAGACCCCAGATGCTCTAACTTTTGATAGCCAAGCACCATCAGCTTTCTTCACCACAGTTGCTTATGCACCCACTTTGTCTTCAGTGATTGTGTTGGGAAGGTGAGCGTCATGGAATGCCAGTTTAATAGAACAAAGTGTTCTTGCATTGAGGGACTTGAGTGGAGGCCCAATGTCCATCAGCTACTTTAATACTAAACCTATAAATATATGCATATAGATATATTTCCCCATCATCATACATAAATATATTTACATATGTCCATGCCTGTATTTAGACCTATAAATGCCCTTTGCCTCCTAGCTCGTTCCTCTATTTCCTTTTACTTTCCTCTTGTCCCACTATCATGCTTAAAATTCATTTGGGTTTCAGTAATTCCTCTCAGCCACATTGCCTTTGATCAAGCTGTACTAGACCTCTTTCACCCTCCTCACCACCGATTTTGGATCACTTGTTGTTCCCTTGTCCCTGGGTTTGTTAACACCACTTCCTTCCCCCTGTAGGACAGGGTAGATCTGCCCTTGTGAGTTTCTGAGACTGTAACTCTGAAGGAGTGTATGTCATGCAATAGTAAGTGTTCATCCTGACTTTTTATGTGACAACATGTGTGACCATCTCCAGTAATTCCCTTTCTTCCAGTGAGGAGAAGGATGGTCCTGCTGGTGAGAGATCCAGAGAGCAAGTCTGATCTATTGGTCCCATTGTGAGGGGTTTTGTTTTCTTTAGATTGAGGTGTAATCCATACTGAAGGCTGTAGTCATTGATATTCATCAGTAAATGCTTCGAGTTCTTCTTAAGGATGGTAGCTGCTCCAGCCACCACATCTACAGTCCAAATGGGGTGGGGGGTGGGGATCAAGATAAAGGGGAGTGGTGGTGCGCACGTCAGAAAATGATTGCTCTCTAGAAACTCTATAGACTTTTGCCTTGAGTCTAATACTTAATAATAAACCTATAAATATATGCACATAGATGTGGAAATGGTGTCCAACGCAGAGGGAAAGATTCCCCTTCTGATAAGATGAGAAAATGAGGCTTAGAGAAGTTAGGTGACACTCTTCCAGGTCACACAGGGAGTGAATAGGAAAGCCGTCTTATTCCATGTATCTATCGTGGCCTTCCACTTGGGGCGGGGCGGGGAGGGGGGTCCTATAATCATGCATCTTTGCTTTCATAATACAGTGTCAAATTTGTCTCTGCTCCTCTGATATCCACACCACATGAGCTTCTCCCCATTTGTGCATAAACAGCCTAGGCCCTTTAGTTATTAGGGAACTCATGCTTCAACCAACTCCTCTCCAACACCTCCACAAACCACAGCTCAATGGCAATGGTCTCTCAAGTTGGCAGAGGTTGAAGTTTGAGCTCATTTTCCATTCTGCCAGGGCCTCTCAATCCCACAGACCTGTTGTGTTGCTTTAAATCTCTTCCCTGAGCTACTATTTAATGTTCTACCCCTGGGTCTTGTTGAGAGCTGGTTATCATCATTATGGTCCTTGAAAGTTGTTTTCAGATCTTCTATAAACTCTCTCCGGAAGACCCAGTCCATTTTGTAGGCCATTGTGGCTTTTTCAAGAATCCACAATGAATGCCTCCTAGAATTTAATGTCTCAATTCTTAGAAACCAAGAGGTCAGTTTGTACCACTCTTCATGGATAACACGGTGACTCTAATTAAGCACAGATTCTATTCTGAGCTTTCAAGCAAACAGGTCACAAAAGGGAAGTGTGACATAAATTTGTATTTGATTAGAAGGACCATGCCATTCCAGATTACTGGTCCAAATAAGTTTCTTCTTCTTTAGCATATCTGTGGAATCCTGGATGATTTTATTTTAATCCACCTGCTATTTTAATTCACCTGTCTTATGTCCATTCAAATCCAGGCAGCCCCTGGGTTCCAAACCCAATTAAATGAAATCTGTATATAAATTGAAACAATTAGGTATGGTTTGTATCCAAGGTCAGTCTGTCACATTATTGTCTTAGTGCCATTATACGCATAAAAATCATGAAAGAAATACTCTCGGGTGCATTAAAATATCTTTAACAGTAATAGTAATATTATTTTGCTATGAATTGCAAAGTATTGACTGGCTATTACAAACCATTGCATGGACCTTAGATGTTTAATTAACAGTCTATATGGGTTTTGGTTTGTAAATATCAGCTGGATAGAAATTGGACCTTCATAATTCATAGTTAAATCAACCTGTAATTCAAGCCTGTTTACATTCTTTTTGAAAATATACATAAATTTTAAAGCAAAAATAATGTGCACTGATCCACACATAGGAGCAGCTTGAAAGAGGAGAGAGCAAAGAACTCGGTTAAGACATCACAAGACCCAAGCTCATGATGTTCATGACTCTGAAGTTTCTTACCTCCCAGCTGGTGTTTCAATGATTAGCTCCACACCAGAAAAAACATTTGAGTGCTTTATTTTACTAATTAGGTTCCTTAAATTCCTTTGTGTAAAATGAATTTGTTCATTAAACACTTCATGTTAGACAGGACCTTAAAGATCTAATCAACCATTCAACCTCAATGGAGCAATGTGCTTCCATTATTACAGACACACAAGCAGACAGCTCGCTTCCATACACTATTATTCCGTCTTCTTAAAAGAAGACAACAGACTGCTCGGCTATGCAGAGGAATGAAGTCCTGATGCGTGCCACAGTCTGAGTGACCCTCGAGTCCTTAGGCTGAAGCCAGTAAGTCAGTCACATGAGGCCACTTAAATTAAATGAGCAAATACATAGAAAGCACGTGTAATTTTAGTTTCCGGGGACTGGAAGGAAGGGGAGAGTGGAGTTGCTATTTGTTTAGAGTGCACTGATGACTGCTAATGAGTGTGGGATCACTTGGGAAAGGATAGTGAGATGGTCACTCAACGTAAAGAATGTAGTCAATGCCATGGAAGCATATATGTAGAGATATATGAGATGTTGCCTGTCTGTGTGTTTATGTCTATAATGAAAAAAAAGAGAGATGATCAAAGGTAAATCATTGAAGAGTTATTATCTAGTAGGCAAGGCATTCTGTTTGGAATGGTGGAAGTTTCAAACTGTTAGGAAATCAGAAATCACACATATTTCTGAATATAGAGAAGCCAGCCCATAAATTATAATACCAGAAAACTACTCAGCACCATGGAAGAACTAAAATCATGCTTGAAAAAGTGTCTAGTATTATGTGATTCGCTACCATTTAATCATTTCCAACTTAGAGTGACCTTACAGGATAGAGTAGAACTGCCCTTGGAGAATGCCAAAGCTTTAAATCTTTATCTGACTAGAAAGTCTCATCTTTCTCCCAGGGACCAGCTGGTAGATTGAAACCGCTGACATTGCAGTTAGCAGCCCAGTGTGTAACCCCCTACCACCAGACCTCCTAGTATGATGTGAAGAGGTTTGAAACCTACTGGGTGAACAGACACACACAGAGCAAACTGATCTACATCATTCTGGCATGGTGAAAGAAACAGTTAACAGCAATAGACCAAAAAGGCAACTAAATATTGAAAATAGAGCTTGTTCCTGGGCAAGAGAATTACAGGAAACTCTTATTTGCATCACTACAATTTTCCACAATGTTTAAATTTTTCTGTAATAAGTTTAAATTACTTTTATTATCATGCCAATTATGGAGTTTTTTGTTTGTTTTTTAAAAAAAAAAAGAATAAATGTAAAAACCTTCCACTAGAGCCAAAAAGTCTTAAACGCTTGAAAAATGAGAACATATGAAAGGAAAATGGTTCAAACACATACACAATGTCAGTGCAAATTAAGATGTGATTAATTGCTAA